CATCCAAAGTCTGGTTTTTTTATGGCTTACAGGGCTCTTGCTATTGCTCACTAATCTCCCCCAACGACCCAGGAAGGGACATTTCTGTGACTGCCCTGGATCTCTGCTTGAAGAACCCAGACCCAGAGAATGACCTTGCCAAGGTCACAGAGTTTTAAATTCAAAGAGCCCACAGGAGGATGTGAACTCGAACTTGGTTCTTCCAATCCCCTGTCAATAAATAATTTGGTCAAAACAATGGCACAGATCATCCTCCAAGTGAGGGCATGAAACATCTATGACCTTGTTTCCTACCACTGTGGTATGTCAAACTTAACACCTTCTGCCAAAAAAACCGAGGCTGCCCCACACTGGGTATTCCCCAAGTCACTAGAGAGAACTCAAGGTTGGGTTCCCAGCACCAGAGCGATGGTCAGACATCATGAACATGACACAGGTCAAACAGGAGCCTTGGGGGTGCCGGCCAGGGTGAACAAGTTTCCCATGTGAGGGACCCTGCTCTGGGTTGGACAAGTATGCACAGAGGCCATCTGCCAGGTAAAAGGAGTATCCCATGAAGGGCACACTGTGAGCACACAGCTGCCTTTGCTTCCCATTAGGGCAGGTGGCCAGTTGCTCCCAGGCTGCACCTCAGTTTAGCTGGGGGCTCTCAGACCAGACAGTGAGATGAAATAAGCTCTCGGCCTCTAGAATAAGTAGAAGGTGAGAGGACGATAACAAAGGGCAGTTGGACAACGCCCTCCCAACTCAGAGCCAGGGGTCAGGCCTGGGCTACTTGGTGGTACACACAGGGCAGGCTCTGCACAGGCACAGAGGGTGTAAATGGGGTCCCATCTGCACTCACCTCCTGCCCAGGCAGGCAGCTAGAGTGGAGAGGGCAACCCAGCTGCCCTCTGGCTGGTACAGGGCTTAGCCCCTGAAGTCTGGCAGTGCCTGGGGATGGTTCTCCAATGCCTGACCGTCCTGACATGGACTTTTGTCTACAGCCCTGCCCCATGTTGATCTGGGGGCAATTATTATTGCTTAAAGCTATTAAGTTCTAAGGTAATTTATTACACATTAATTGAGGTATGCACCAGTTTTTCAGTCCAGGCCTTAAGAAATATCCACTTTCTATCTCTTGGGATACTCACCATTGGAATCCAGCACCATGATACAAGGAGGCCAAAGTAGCTATAGAGGCCAAGGTAGAGAATAGAGATCCACACAGAGGGTAGGGACCCACACAAAGCACAGAGACACACACAGAGAGCAGGACCACATAGAGAGCTGCTAACAACAAGATCCACTTGCCAGTTGTGTGTGTGTCATTGTGGAAGTGGATCCTCTACCCCCAGCTGAACCATCCTGGCCCAATCCTGCCACATTGCATAAGCAATCATGGCACTGGGTTCCAACAGTGAGATAGTCTAAGTCACCAAGTCTCAAGGTGGTTTATTATGCAGTCATAGGTAATGAAAGCAGACCTTGGTATCTAGATGTGGGGTGCTAATATGACAGAACCCCAAGACCAAAGTATTGACTTTGGGACCTGGTTGTAGGTAGCAGCCTAGCCTAATGGGCCTCAAAAAACAAAAAAAAATCAGAAAACAAAAAAACCTCACAGGAAGCCATTGGTTTAAACAGAACTCCAGCACTGGGCCTACAGACCAACCACAATGGGGCAAGTCCATGGGACTAAGAGACTAAGTTGTCCACGTGACCCTGCAAGACACGAGAGGGTGGGACAGGTCCTGCCCAGGGAGGGTTTAGTACCAGTGGGAGGGAGGAGGTGGCGGGAAAAGGGAGTAGGAAGGTGAATATGGTGCAAAAACTGTGTACACATGTAAGTAAATGCAAAAATGATGCCTGTTGGCTTCTATATGCTCTAGGAAATAGGTATTTATCAGATAATCTCTGAATATTTTCTTCCAGTGTGTGGATTGCCTTTTCATCTAGTTTTACATCTTGAAGAAATCCAATTTATCTTTTTTTTATTGCCTGTGTTTTTGGTGTCATATCTAGGAAACTGTTACCTAACTCAAGGTCACCAAGGTCACAAATTTTCAAACCTTTGTTTTCCCCTAAGAGTTTTTTAGTTTTAGCTCTTACATATACATCTTTCATTCGTTCAAGGTTAGTATCTTATATGTGTTGTATGGTAGAAATGAAAATTCATTTTTTGATTATGGATATCCAGTTGTCCCAGTACTTTTTATAGAAAGGAATATTCTTTGTCCATTAATAGTCTTAACAACCTTGTCATAAATTTATTGACCTTTAATGTAAGGATTTTTCTGGATTGTTAATTATATTCCATTGATCTAAAAAAAAAAAAAAAAAAAAAAGAAAGTGATTCAGGAATGGGGGAGGAGGGGGAAAAGAGAGCAGTGGAGCAGGTGAATTCAAATGTGATATATTTGATACACTGTAAGAACCTTTGTAAATGCTACAATGTACCCACACCCAGACAACAATAATAAAATAAAATAAGACATCAGGACACAGGGCAGTCAAGTTCCCAAGCAAATCAGTTCTACCGCTGTGGTAAGGAAGTCCCCTCTGCTTTCCCTTCCTCCAGGATGTCACCTGTCCTGTCCTCTGAGCCTTCTTTTCTCAGCCCTTCTTGGCCCAGAAAGCCAAACTTCTCTGTCCAGCTAATCACATTTTTTTTGTTGTTGTTTTACAGAACAAGGTTTTACCCACTTCTAAAATTGCAAATAAAAGCCAATGATCTCTAAACTACATTTGTCTTCTGACAAGGCTAAAAGGAAGGTAGGAGAAATATTATTCAAAGCTGGCTGAAGAAGGATCTTTGACATGTAGTAGCAAAAAGTCACTCAGTTATCATCTGAGGTAAAACAGAAAAGGATTCCTACTCATTCGTGTCACCAAGAGGATTTTCAGGCAGCCTGCAGAAGTGCCCACCGGCATCTTGTCCCTGCCTGTGATAAAATGCAAGAGAAGAGAGATGAATGAGAGAATGAACTGTTAAGTATAAAAGGATTCACTGGGTTTGAAAATAAAAATGTTTGTATTCCCAGTCTCTGCAAATTAAGAAAGGGCCTCAGGCCTGCTAATCCAGGACAAGTCTACAAATCTGAGATTGAGAATCCCAGAGACTTGCAGACAAGATGAAAGGCCTGCAAGGGCCTCCAGGACACCCTGAGGACCTCTCCATCTAATAGGGCTCCAAAGCATCCCGAGGGCGTGGTCCCTCGGTCTCCTGAAGGAAGCAGAAGTGGGGAGGGGCTTCTCTTGCTGTGGTCACTGTGGCCTTTGTCTAACAGAGCAAGGAGCCGCCATTCCTCAGAAGGGACTGAGGAAGCAGAACACAGAAACAGCATCACATGCAAAAGTCAGCCCTGGGGAAAGCCACCCAGGAGACTGAGGCGTAATCTGGAAAACAGGTTGAGAGGTCAGTCCTCACTCAGTTACCTCAAGTCATCCTTGATCCAATTAGACCTCCTTGATTTCCTCAACTAACCGAGGAGCTAAGACAGAAAACGCTGCCCATCTGCAATGTGGCATCTTAAGGCTCTTCCCTGAAAGTCTAAAGAGAGATTATTGATGCTGGAGGAGGGTAGCTCTGCTGCCTGAATTATTCCTCCCTTCCCTAGGGCTTCATAGAGGCTCATCCGCCTATATTCCTGGGGAAGATACATTGATTAAGAAAGGCAAAAACCTAGCTCAGAAGCAAGTCTGTGTTCAATCTTCTTTTTTCCTCTCTGCAAATGGGGCCATAATTCCAAGTAAGTGGCGTGTGAGGCCGTTAAGAGCAGGCCGCACACTCATGCTGCGATGTTGGAGGGCTGTAAATAACACGCACGGCTACACCGGGGACCAAATTGCTCGTTAGCTGCCAACATTAGTGTTTAATGATCTGAGGAGCAGAAGCTGCCAATTATTGTATTCCTTCCTATAATACCATTTAAAACCCATACGTGTAATTATTATACCTTTCTGTTAAATTTTTTATGATTCCTCTGAAGCCGATGGGCTGTGGGTTCATTCACACTATAAATCTCACAGAGTGCTTCAGGCAGCCCTTATATTATAGGGTTAAAAACCCATGACAACACGCTCACCGCAACAAGAACACACACACACCACATATAATATCATCTCATGGGCTAACTGAGAGGAACTTGACCACAGACACATCGCACACCACCTTCCACCTGAGCCTGGGTCACAGTCCCCTTTTCACTCCGATACAGCTATGACATAAAATTAATACACAAAACTACAAAGGATGCCTGCACGCCTGTTAATGAACACGGTGAGACAGTACTGTTCACAGAACTCTGTTTCCCAAACACAAAAACACAACCCAGCAAACCTATCCAAGTTAAATTAGGAAGGGGGAGTAGTGAGCTAGGAAAAAAAAACCTCACTCGCCACCAACACCACAACAAAAATAAATAGAAAAATAACTGCATAGTAAGGGGCGGGAAAAAGAACAAAAAAAAAACTGGTCCTAAAAAAAGAAACAAAAAAAGAAAAAAAAAAAAAAAGCTGAGAAGTCCTCCCAAGTTCTTAAAGAGTTAGAGTAAGAAGAGCATTAAACAAGTCCATCAGCCCCATCTCACCATACAAAAGAACCACAACACATCTACACAGATAAGATAGAGGAAGAGAAAGAGGAAAAACAGACAAAAAGTTGTCACATATGGTCACAAAAAAAAAAAAAACTCCAACAAATAGAGAGACAACCTCCATGCACATGCTGGAAAAAACATGTGGGAACCATGGAGAGACCACAGCAGCAGGTTCACTCTATTGAAGAGCGTAGGAAACCCAAGTAGGATAACAGACCATAGTGAGTGACCTGGTGCAAATGGAAACCCTGGCCTTCCACGCGCCCCATCCAAAATGCAAGGGAACCATCTCCCATCATAGCTGTAGGGAAGCCCCCAGAAAGCTTTGAGGTATCTGAGTGTGACCTAAGTAATGGCCAGACATTAGCGGAGACAAGCGTGCAAAGTGGAGATGGCTATCATTTAGTCTTCCGGAGTTACCTGCTACTGCGAGCATTTGGGCTTCAAGCAAGGTGGGCAGCCGGGTTTCAAGGTCACTAAGTCTCCTTCTCAAAATGCTGCAGAGTCTCTCCATCGTGCACACCTAGGGGAGGGATTAGAGGGATGTACAAAGGCAAAGAAGGAAAGGGACAGGGCAGGCGGTAGGGGAAGAAGACGGGAGGGACAGAGAAGAAGGAAAGGGGAAACAACACTGCACACCCGTGTAAGCCCATACCCTTTCCACAACCCAACACAAGACTGTTGAGTTCTCACGAAAAGAACCACTCCATACTTCCTTCTGCCTGGCTTTACTCCTGCCTAGCGCTCGCTGTCAGCTTCACACACACCCTCGCTGTCTGCTCAGCCCCTGGAAGGAGAGGCTTGCTGATACTGCCAGACTAGCAGAGCTGCTGTCCCCCACCACCACCACCTGAGTCTCCCGCCTCGTCCTCTCTGCTGACACAGCTGCTTTTATTCCTCTGTTTTTTTCATTCTCTCTCTGCTAGGATATAAGCTCTATACTTTGCTCTGCCCCTGGCACACAGTAGGCAGTAAATTAAGATGTGGCCTTTGAGGTCAAGGGCAGAATGTTGGCTAAACTCAATCACTGGTACAGGTTTCTAGGGAAACGTGGAGGGGCATATACTCACTGGTGAGTCAGATTTGAAAAACAGACAAGAAATCCTCAGAGTGGTTTGCGGTTTTTACCTTTTATTTCCCATGGCACTCTGAACACTTCCTACATAACAAAAATTTTAAACCTCAATTTTTTCCCAAATGCCTTTAGGTTATCTTTTATGTTGTAAGAGGTTAAAAGACCACATTTTTCTTTTGTTGAAGGCTTGAACCTCAAGTTCATTGCTGTCTATACTCAGGTAGTGAGCTACTAAGACATATTTCCAGTTCTACAAAAGTACACAACACATTTCAGTAGAAATAAACTTGCCTGTGGACACATCATGGAGTGTTCCACAAAGGGCAGTATCTAGAGCATCACTCTTTTCTTGCCCCAAATCTGAGATTCCATCAAAAACTAAAATTAACCCACTTGGATTCATAAAGCTTAGAGAAAATATAAAATTTAATTTCCCCAGAGCAATCTAGGGCTTGCAGGATGCCATCTAATGTTTCGCTGATCTCAGACCCAACAGAGGTCATTTTTTAGAATCAAAGCCGACCTCACCCTGTACTGCCCAAAATGGCACTTGTTTTCCACAATTGCAATTGGAAAACTGCAATTTTCCAATACCTCCAAGCCATTAGTCCAAGACTCTTGATTTGGTCCTGAGACTTGTGAGGACATCAGAACCAAGAGCTGAAAGGAAGACGTCCTGAACACCTTCCTCGCACCCACCTCCCCTGCCACGCCAGCACCAAGTCTTGGGTTGTTTCAATGCCCAATGACCAGCACAACCCGTCCTATCCATCTAAAACTGCCATTCAAAATCTGAGGACATTTCTGATAACTGTACAACACCTGCCAGGATTCTTAGGTCTCATCCAATCTATGCTCAGTATTTCTTGATTTTAGTTAACAGTGTCTATTAGTCGTAATTGGGTCAGTTTCTCTTTGTTGAGCAAATCCATCCTGCAAGCTGTCACTATTAATATGAAGCAACCTTTGCAAGTTTTCTTATCAATTGCAATGTACGTTCTTTCAGGCTCTGCTGGGTGGATCTATTCTCTTCTGATCTCAGCTATTCGAATCACTCCCAATTTCTTCCATCTCATTTACCCATTGATTACCTTCGGTATGGCAACCCATGAGAGTTGAAGAAATGGAATGAGTGCAAAGAAGTTCCTTTTGTCTCTGAAAATATCAGAGGGGTGTGTCTGTGTGTGTGTCTGTGCCTGTGTGTGACTATGGTAAGCCAAGCCTGGTGCCCCATGGTCACTGGTCAATCTGCAGTGGACATTCATGTCCTCCACATTCATCTATGTGCCTAAGTGCATGCCCCCCCATACGCACACATACACACTCCAGAAAACCTACATCTTCTTATTTACAAATAAAATTAGACCCCGAGGAACTCATTATCAAATGGAGATTTTACATTTGCATTTTCAGATCTGAAGCAAGAGCCTCTTAAGTTCATAGAAGAGCAGAATAATTATAAATCTTCCATAAATGTACTAGATATGGGTAGCAGGGATTTGAATGTCTGTGTCCCCCAAAAATATGTATGTTGAAATCCTAAGCCCCAGTGAAATGGGTTTGGATGTGGGGCTTGAAAGATCACAGGTCATGAGGTGGAGCCTCATGAATGGGTTAGTGCCTGTATAAAAAGGGATCCCAAAGAGCTCTGTTGGCCTCTTTGTTCCATGGAAGGACACAGTGACCCAGAGAGGCCCTCACAGAACCTGGCCGTGCTGTCTCCCTGACCTCAGACCTCCAGCCTCCACAGCTGTGAGAAGTGAAGGAAGGGTGGCTTGTGGGTCACCCTGGGTCTGGCACTTTGCTCTGGAAACGATTAGACTAAGAAGGTATGCAGACAGAGAGGATGCCTTCTGGTATATGGGCAAATCCAAGGTCTTCATTATGGCAGCTGAGTCCACTCCTGCAGCCCCACTCTGAGCCAGGTGAAGTGTGAGCCTCGCCCTGCTCCCTTCCACTGGGCAAGCGTCCTAAGAGGTTCTCAGGGGGCCAAGCAGGTTTCAGGCACTCCTGGGTCCTGGCCCCAGGGGCCATCTTACAATCCCCCCCCAGTAAACTCTTCCTTTCTTCAGGTGTCACCCATCAAACTTCTGCCCAGTATCCACGAGCAACAATACTAAGTGTTGTTTTTAGAAATAAGTGAGATACAAAAACTAAGAAAAGGGTCAGAGGAACCAACTTCAGCCCAGCTTTGCTGCTCAGCAGACCCTCAGCATGTCTCCCACCCAGTGTCCAGGACTTTCTCTGGCCAGAGAACAAGTAGAGACTCCTGCCAGGTTGGTGGCTTTCTGCTGAGCAACTGCTGTTTCTATGACTTTTCCATACCGTCCCTGACTCCCAGACAGACACCAGTGATTGAAGATTCAAACCAGGTCTCTGCCACAGCATCCAGCTAGAACTCGGAGCACCTGACACTCCTGCTCAGACCACCATAACTTGGTCAGGAAGGACCACAGAGAGAGGGCTTTAGCACTCTACACTGTGGCTTTCTGACCACCAGGACATGGACTGTGGGATTCAACTGACTGTCTGAAAGAGTGTCCTGTCTACACACAGCAAGGCTTGCCATGAAAGTGTAACAGGCAGATAAAATAAGCAAAATGGTTCTCAAGCCCACTGAAGAACTTTCTTTGTTTATTGGTGACTAAACTCAGGGCCTTGCACTCGCTAGGCAGGCCCTTGACCACTTGAACACTTCTCTTTTTTTGTTGTTTTTATAGTTTCTTTTTGGGTAAGGTCTCACTACCGTGCCACAAACCTTGGTCCTCTGAGCTCCACCTCCCGGGTAGCTGGAATTACAGGTGTCACTCACCACGTCCAGTATGAAGAACTCTGTTAAAAACCTAAACCATTCATCTACTTTTCCATTTCTGAGAAACTTGAACACCCCCTGGGAGAACAAGTAATTCATTTCTCAAATCACTTCCATCCCGAAAGCCTTCTTAAGTGAAGGCATTCAACACACATGGCACAGTCCTTTCCCAGCCCCTGAACTGGCAACGCTTCTGGTAGCCAAAGTGAGAATCAAAGAGTTAATGTACAGTGTATTCATTGTACAGATGTCAGCTTAACTTCCCTGAACTGTTGTCTGTGTGCCTTGTGAGATGTCACTTAACCCTGTCAATTCCTAAGAACAAAATTCTGTTCTTCCAGGTGCCCTAGTTTCAAAAACTGCTTCCTTAAGGCAGCTATTATTCAAGTAAATCTTTGCTCTCCCTGGCCCAACTTGCCCCTTTTCACATTAGCCAATCATGAAGATTGTGACCCAAAACACACTCAATCAGGGTGTTAGAGAGAAAACCTGAGTGGACTTCCCGGCCAGTGTGCTTGCTAACCAGGCTCTTGATCTGCAGCACACCTTCTGCAGAAGTAAATTTTGCCTTGCCTATTGACTTCTAAGTTGTGTTGTCTCTCTTGTGGCACCCAATATCCCGAATTCATTCCTCACACCAAGGCCAACAGTCCATGGGAGATGACTGCAGGGAGAGACCACCACCAATAGCTTCCCCGCCCGGCTCTCCTAGTTCATTACATGGCCGTGAAATACTTGACAAAGTTACACTTCTTCTGGAGCCCAGGCGTTCCATGATCTACACATTAAGGCAAAACAAAACTTGACAAACTTCTTTGGAAAACAGGAACATTAAGGGCTTACCTTAACAGTGATTTCTTTGACAGACAGGTGAAGGGACTTTGTCCTTTCCTGGAGGCTAGAATTGAAAGAGGAAATCGGTTTTTCTGGCAGCACGGAAGGACCCTCCACACACGGGACACCACCAACAGGAGCCTTCCAATGCCCAGGAACTGAGGACAAGCAGGAGGGAAGGCAATGCAGGTTTGCTCCCATGACTGTGGAGTTAATAGGTCACCAGGAAGCAGATCTCTACTCCCTAATCATGCTAGACTTGGGCTAGTACTGAAGCCTGTTGTAATTGCCATCACACACCTCTACTGATAAGGGAAAGAACACCTCAACCGTGCTCCTGTCACCAGCTTCTTAGAAGGATAGGCCTCATAGGACAGAATCTCACTTACAGGGAATCAGATGCTGTCTCTGTGGGGATTCCACCAATTCAACAAACATGGCCAGGCATGGTAGTACATGCCTGTAATCCCAGCTACTCAGGAGGTGGGAAGTAGGAGGATCTCTGTCTGAGGCCAGCCTAGACAAAAGAAACTGAAAAAAACAAAAGGACTGGGGACGTGGCTAAGTGGTAGAGCACTTGGAGCAATAGGGAGCTCTGAATTCAATCTCCAGTATCTCCAAAACATGTACTGAGTGCCCTCTGCATTCATGCAAGTCCCCCCGCCATCCCTTTCCCATGGAATCTAAGGTTCCAGTGAACAACCATGGTCTGCTGGGTTCATCCCACATCCCCAGTGCTGAAAACACTGCACTTGTGCATGTGTGAGTCGGTACAACCAAGACTCAGAGCTTATTCTAGGCTCTTCCCTAGAGGAGAAGAAACACAAGGTGCAATATAAAGCAAAATGAAGAGATGACTCCAAGGGGAGGAGAAACCCAATGCCAGAAGGAAACAGCTACACAAAAGCGTTGCTGGCAGGATGTGAACTCTCAGTGCACAACGCACACAAGTTGGAGAACAGTTTAGAGACTGCGGACTGGTGGGAAAGCTTGCTGGAAGAGAAAGTGAACGAGGCCTCAAAGAAAAAGGGAAGGAGAACGAGCTTGCAGGAGAAGATAAACCTGACCGGTGCAAACTGTCCACATGGGCGAGCTACAAGAGACAAAGTTTAACGGGACAATTATTCGTGGGAGGGAGGAAGGGGGAGGTGAGGTCCACTCATGTCCGTAATGTTTGCTTATTGGTCTCTTTACTAGGGAAAGAGAATCAAGTAAATATGGGGAAGAGGCTGTTTGTTTAGTCTCGGGCGTGGGCAGTGAGTATCTGTTGCATTTTTCAATCTGTTTGGCCTGATAAAATGAAAGTCGTTTTTAAAGGAGTTTAACAACAAGCTCTGGGCGGTATTAAGTGCCTGACTTCTAGCTCCATCCCCCAGGCAATGGGAAATTGTTCTGGTTTTGAGAAGGAGAACAGTATGAAAGAAGTGCTTCTGCTTTGGGAAAATTAGTGAGGCAGCACTCAGAGAGATGAATTAGAGGGAAGAGTTGAAATGAAACTGCAGGAAGCTGTCATGGGGTCCAGGAGCCTGGAGAGTGTCAGAAAGGAAGCGAAGGGAGGTCCCGGCTTGCTTGCGGAGATACTGTGAAGCAGCGACATCAAATCTGCAGCCTCTCACTGCTCCGAGCCAGGAACAGAGCCCACAACCACGAGCGGCTATCAGGAGGGCGAGGCAATGCCACAGGTGCGAGGAAAGGGGCAATCACTTGATAAATGGCGGTCTGTGAAACAGGAAGTTGTGGGGGGACAGGGCAGGTGGCACTGGGGTATGCGTGGGGAGGGCGTGGATGACGGGAAAATCTCACCCGGCAGGGGTCACAGATAAGAGCAAAGCTGCTCATTTCACTGTTCTTCTCCAACCGTGAGCAGTTAAGGTCATTGTCACCACCACCCAGCCGTGACTTCTGAACACAAGCAAAGTCGCTTGCATTGCAAGCACGCAGGAGCTAGTGCAGGCACAGTCAGATGCATTCCCACTGGAGGCCCACGGTCACCAGAGCAAGGCTTCCAGTGAGGCTGAAATACACCCAAGGAGAGGAGATGAGCGTGGCCAAAGTGCAGGACACAGCATACCCACAGGAGCCCCAGAAAACGATTGGCCTCCTGCCTGGTGAATGCTGGGCCCTGGCTGAAAGGAAGCTGCATTTTTTAAACAAAGGTAAGTCTAAGTGTCAGCTCACATGGAGGGCAAGGCAGCCAGGCCACTGTTGCTGTTGGGCACTGAAGGCAGAGGACGTCAACTTCTGACCCGGATGGGCTTCACCTCTGTTTCTAGGGGCAGCACAGCTCTGGGTGACTGATGCCAGCTGCCCAAACTTAAAACCTTCCTTGGGTAGAAATGAACTTTCTTTCTCTTGCCAGGCTCAGGAATCCATTCAACTAAACTTTGTTTTGAGACAGGGTCTTAACTTACAGCTCAGGCTGGCCTAGAACTCCCAATCCTCCCACCTCTACCTCCCCAATTCTGGGATTACAGCTGTGCATCACCAGGCCCAATTAAACAATACATTTTTAATAAATGATTGGCCAGCTAATTGAATGTTTGAGCATTTAACAGCTCAGTGTAAAGAAGTGTCCTCAAACACACACAAACGCTAGTCCATACATTGACAATTGAGAGGAGAGTGGCTTTCTCTTCTCTTCTTCAAAGTTAGCTGGCCCGAAAGGCAGTGCCTTTACTAAAACCCAGCCTACCAAGCAAAAAGTAGGCCAAGCACCTCTTCCCAGGGGACACAGCCTGTTGGTCTGGACCCAGATCTGGCCATGTCCCAGGAAGAAAATTAGTCTCCTCTCAGATATCCACGTTAGAGGAAGGAGGTGGTCATGCAGATAATTGAATGCATTATTTTATATTTGATCTGATTTATATTTAATTTATTTAATTTATGCTATATTACTTTTTGCAGTAGATTTTCCTCCCTAATTATGTTTTGCTCAGACTAATATTAACATTAGTTGCATCCCTGGGGTAAACACAGAATGAAAGCAACGGGGGGCAGTAGAATATGAATATTCTATGTTCTCTGCTAGTGGTTTTCAAGCTATTTTTAGCAGCAGGACTCAGCACAGTATTAGACAGAAGCACGGTGTGTCATACGGGTTGCAGGGAATCTGCTCTAATGGGCAGGTCTTACCTGGAGCACACCTGAGTCACGTTAACCCAACACATATGCTACCACACTGCCCTCACATTGAGGTCCCGAACCATAATTCCAGGGGTGGAAAGGTGAGTGGAAAACCACCAAGTCCGACCAGTCAAACATCATAAGCAAGATGCCATGTGTTCAGTGATTTAAACCAGTTCACATTCCAGTAAGGTTGCCTAGTACTCATGACAAATGACACTGACCCTCTTAAATCAAGTCGTGGTGCACTCTGGAGTGGAGGAGTTGTCCACGCAGGTAAGCAGATAGGTTTGAACAAACACAACTGGCCTATGGTGTGGAAAGTACACTTATTCACAGCAGCTGCCTGGGGAATAAGTCAAGTGTTTGTTGAGTGCCTAGTCTGTCCCAAACACTCTCCTGTATTCTTTACACAGACGAGGTTTTGTTTGTTTGTTATTTATTTTGGGTAGGTCCCAGGCTTGAACTCACAGCTTCACACTTGCAAAGCAGGTATTCTATTGCCTAAGCCACACCTCCAGTTCATTTTGCTCTGGTTATTTTGGAGATGGGGGTCTCATGTGAACTATTTGCTCAGCTGGTTTCAAACAGCTATCCTCCCAATCTCAGCCTCCCAAGTAACTAAAATTATAGGCGTGAGTCATTGGCTCCCAGCTAGTTTTTAAATTTTTATTGTAATCTATAAAGCATGAACTATAATCTTCCTATTTCCAGGGAATAAAACTCAAAGAGACTTGAGTAACCTGCCCACTAGGAATAAGGGATCTGGAATGGTAACCTGCAGCCTACCTATCTGCTCTCCTAACCCTTACAACCTCTCCTAGAAGCTGTGTCCTTATTTGAAATGCACCATCATTATCCAGACTGGTTTTTGGAACTGTATTTTAGAATCGTTACCCTTACAAAACAATCAATATTATCATCAATAAATGCACATTACTCTTTATGCACAAACTGGTTTTCAAACCACATGACCAAAATTCACTCTCAACAAATGAAAATTTAGGAAATAATTGTCTTGCCGACCAAAAGGAGAAAAGAAAGCACTTCAGTCAGTGGTCCCAGCTACTTGGGAGGCAGAGGTAGGAGGATCACAGTTCAAGGCTAGCCCTGGCAAAGTTAGCTAGAGACCTTAGCTGAGAAACAAACAAAAAATCAAAAGGGCTGGGGGCATGGTTCAAGTGGAAGGGTCCTTGCCAAGCAAACTCAAGGCACTGAGTTCAAAGTTTAAGATACAGACACACACAGAGAGATGACCAAGTGAGGACACTGAGGAAAGTGTCCATCTATAAGCTAGAGAGAGAGGCCTCAGGAGGAACCAGAACCACTCACACGTTGATCCAGACCATGAGGCTGTAAATGTCTGTGGTTTCAGCCACTATCTGCAGTGCTCAGTTAGGGCAGCCTAAGCAAGCTAATGTCCATGGGATTTCTAGCTTCCAGTGATGACTTAAGTATGTGTGTTATTAGGAGCCTACTTATTGGTGCTGTGGGGTCCAAAAAAGGAAGTAGCTTCTCCCTATGGCAGCAGCCAGACCACAGTGGACTCTCCCACTTGCTTCAGACAAAGCTCTTCATCCCCAACCCGCCAGCGGGGAGGCCGAGAGCTGCCTCACCACAGTTGTATACAGAATGTTAAGCTCTACCTGTAGCACAGGGTTTAAGCATCGTGAATCATGAAAATGCTGCATTACAATGTCTTTGGTGGGAGAAAAACAAAATAGAACCCTTGGGTTAATGCAGCTGCTCGCTTCGGCCTTGGCTTCAGATTAGGAACAGAAGGGGGTCCCTTAACACCAGCCCAACGTCACAAGAGGAATGGCACCACTGGTATAAAAATTGCCAGGGATAGAAGGAGAGATTGCTCAGCAATACCAGAAGGGAAGTGGAGTTTGAGCCAAGCTCAGAGGTGCTGCAGCTGAGACAAGGCCAAGGTCAATA